ATACAGTTCACCTTTTCAGATGAGGTTGTAGAAAACCCACCTCTGTTGAACAGGTAGAATTTTAAAAAGGAGTGTGTGAGAGGTTAGAGGTTATTTTCCTAATGTTAACCCCAAAACTGAATATCACAGCGTTTGGGGAAAACATTCTAATAACCTGACAAGACTAACAAAACGCATTTGTTTTTAGCCAAGAACATTTTCATTGTTGCTACCACCCGTTTTCCTTTTTGGGGGGTCAGCCTTCTGCGCTGTGTGTCTCCCTCTCATACGTCAGTGCATGCTGGGAGCCGCCCTGGTGCCAGTCCCAGATAAGCAGTGGACTGCTAGCCATGGGGACAGTGGTTCAGGAGAAAGCTGTGAGGCTTCCTTAAAGATTCACAAAGACTTCAAAACCCTATGGAGGTTCACTTTGATCAGAATCAGCTCAGTGGCTGTGGGTTTGAGTAGATTCTTCTTCTATAGTATTCTGTGTTTTTGTTCAAAAGATGACGGACTCTTCACTTGATTCTCTATTGCCTCGACACAACACGTTCTATTCAGAACCGGAATGCCGCCACCGTGCAGCACATGCCCTGTCCTGTAGAGGGTCCTTATGGGGCAGAGTTCTGAAGACTGCTGCCATGTCTCCCACCTGCATCCTCAGTGTGCATGAATGGTGGTGTGGGAAACAAAATGGCTATCTTCTTCATCGGGCAGTAGAAAGGGCTTGTTTGTTTTTGTTTTTTCTCTTTGGATAAATTGTGACTTCATCAACAAATACAAATTCCCCACAGTTAGCTTTTTTTGCACACATATAATGGCCTCTCCCTGGATTAATTTTCAGCAGTTTGTGAGTCTGAAGACCTGCAAAGATTTTGCTGCTTCTTGGGCAGGAATATGAGTGAGATTTCATCTTGGCTTCCTGAGTTTGCGAAAAGTCTCTGCCAGCTCCAGTGTCGGGGGTGAAAGTTTATTCAGATGGTATGACTGGCCCCTGGAATACAATCTTTGTGCACTCCTGTGTTAGGGTGTCTGAGAGGCACAGCCTCTCTTTGCGGCTGTAAACATAATGCAACAGAGAGTACCAGCAAGTTCAGTGACCAGTCCTGGGAAAACGAGACGTCGGCTGTGGAGAGAGAGTAGGGCCTTGTGCCTGGAGTTATTTTTGAGTGAAGCTTTCTAAAACTTGTGTGAGTTGTTTGAACTGATGGCTTGATCGGAGGGGTAGAAGCTGCCCTTTCATCTCTACATCTCCCATCTGGATTGGCCAAGGACCAGGAAGCAATTGGCTTCAGTCACAGAAGATGGAACCCAATTTCAGCTGCATCTGACCCATACACTTCTGTGTTTTTCTTTGGGATCTGTCCTGACTGTCATGTGAACATGTTGATAGTATCGCTGAATGTCACAATATTGATCCGCGTGACTACCTGGCTCAGAAATTATGACATGAAGTGTCAGAGGCTCCGTGAACTCTTCTGCCTGAGCAGGCCCCGATGAAACGTTGTGACGGGGGCGCTGAGGGACTCGGAGGCTTGGGATGACATTCTGGGCCTGTGGAGCAGTTCTTGACACATGGGCTGAAGGGGACGGTACAGCCATTCCAGAGGGCTGGCACATTGGCTTATTGCTTATAGCAAACATATTAAGGAAAAAAGATGATAGGATATCAGTTTTCTCTCCCTCCTTTCCACATTTCCTGTTTTCTTTCTCCCCCGCCTCCCAACTCTCAGTAACGTATTATAGTAAATGATAAGCAGTTTGTGAAACAGCCATTTCCCAGAGCTTCAGATTGACAGTCCAAGATAATTCACCATATTTAATGGTCGGTCTCGTGTTTGAATATTTTTGGAAATACAAGAATGTCCATGCCGGTGTAGCCTTCATTGAAGATCAGCCAAGGTCAGAGTCTGTGCGTGTAAAATACGCACTAGTGAAAGGTAAGCTCACCTCCTGTGGAGGACAGCACGGGGGCTCTTGGGGAGGACATTGGGAACTTGACGAAGCTGGGATTGTAAAGCAGTATATCTGTCTCCTTCTCGGTCCACCCACTGCCGGCACTGAAGCCAGCCAGTGTCCCCCTGCAGCTTGGATGAGCAAGGTGTACTGGAGAGCAGCAAGATGGTGGCATTTGGCAAAGCCCACTGACACACTTGGCAGCTCTCCTTGAAAGCGTGTGTCCGGAGTGCGAATGCGGTTTTTGATCCACGGTGATAGGTCTTTGAGTGGCAGGAGTCTCCGTGCTTCCCCAAAAGCTAGTTTTGAGAGCTCAGGCCTCTCACACTACAAGAGCAAGAGCGCCTGCTCTGTATGCCTCTAGCCTGGTGAGCTCTCCCGCTCAGGGCCCTGCCTGAGCAGCACTCTGAGTCCCCAGCCTCCCAGACCCGCTCTTTCTCGCTTTCTTTGATGCCTCTCAGGGAGTAATGGAAGTTTGCAGATATGGTGATCTTACGTCCAGTCCGCCGGCTTCTGCGGGCTTTTTGTCTGGTCCTGGGGGAGGGACAGTTGGGGTGCCGTATGATTACCGATTCCCACTCTCCTCAGCCTGCCTCTGATTGGCCAGCACTGGACTTTAGTACTCTAGCCTGCACCCCTTGCTCATTCTTTCCCCACTCGCTGCCACCCTTCCCAGCCTCTAGGTATAAGCAGGAGGGCCCGAGAGAAGATCACCCTTCCGTTTTGTGCCCTGCAGTCACTTCAGTCCGGGGCTGTTTGGGTGTTGCAGTTCTTGTTGGCAGCCCTCACCTTTGTGTTGCGTTCTTTACTCGTGGATTTTCTCTCCTCCCCCAGATTTGAGCCGGTTTGGGATAAGGGTTCCTGGGCGGAGTCCCTTTCTGCACTTCAGTTTGTTAAATGTTCTGGCAGTCCAGCAGTAAGCACTAGGACGGAGTGCTGGGCCCCACTGCTGCCCCACCCCCTTGCTCGGCCTCCCTCAGTGGAGCAGGAGACATTTGAAGCCTTGAAAGTTCATCTCTATACCCATTTGCCTTTTTATTAATTTTGTATTTTTATTACCCTGAAGGTAGTTTCTACAAAAACTGGAATCTGCATCTCCCCCCCTTAAATGTTTACTCAAAGAGCCAATGCCAGCGAATTATACAGTATAACAGAAGCACTTTTGGTTGGAATTTGTCTTCCTGTACCATTTTTGCTGTCTGAAAAGAATGATAAAGATGTGTTTTATATTGTCTCAATGTAGTTTGTATTGACTTAAAGGTTTTAAAACCCTATCTTAAAATAAGTATTTAAAATAACATTTTTCAGCAGTTTTATTGGTATATAATTCATGTGTCACACATGTCAACAATTTAATCCCACCAAGAAGAGTTGTTTAATCATCACCACAGTTTTAGAACACTTTTCTTCATTCTTCTGCTCCTCGTTATTAGCTCCCTATTTCCCCCCGAACCTCCCCTGCTATATCCTCAAGGAACCATTAATCCAGTTTCTCTCTCTCTAGATTTATGTAGCCCTGGATTTCATATGCAGAAAAACATTAAAAACTAGCAAGAAGTCCAGTAAGATTCGAAGTAATAATTACAATATATAATTAATCGAGGAGGTTGAGGGAGGGAGGGAAAAAAAGAACTTATACCAAGGGCTCAAGTAGAAAATGTCTTGGAAATGGTAATGGCAACATGTACAAATATGCTTGATACAATCAATGCATGGAATGTTATAAGAGCTGCAATAAAATTATTTGTTTAAATACGATACTAAAATGGATAAAAACTTCAATAGAAAAGAAAGCAGAAAATATTAAAAACTAAAGCAAATTTAATTAGATCATAAGGGAGATCAGATCAAATGATAGGTTGCTAAATTTTAACTTAACTGCATCTGCAACAATCCACTTCCCAATGCATTCTTGCATGTTAACAGGCCTCTGCACATCATATTTTAATATTCAGATCTGCTCGATGAGAAGCCTACAGATTTGAATCCTTTGGAGAACATGTGCAATAAAGAGCTGGTTAAAATCATAACCAGGAATGTGAACATCAACCTGGCTGTTGTGGTTTCACTTAACCCTTGATTTGAAGCTCTTCGTTCACTTTTTGTCCACTTACGACCTCTCTGAGAAATCAGTCTGTCCTGACGAGCATGCGGCATGGGGCAGCCCGGGCGGAAGCACTCCCGTGTGAATGTGCAGGAGAGCAGTCTGCGCAGACTCAGAGCCCCAGCCTGGCCCCAAGTGGGTAGCATACACCCCCCAGAACCATTCGGGGCCTTCAGCTTATCCCACTCCAGACCAGCATGTTCACTCAACAGCATAGTTGAAGGTGCGGAGGGGACCGTTGTGAGCGAGATAATAAGTCCCCATCCCCGTGCACCAGTACATGTTGAAATGTAGTTACACAGTGGTGGCGTCCAGCAGCACAGTCGGTAAGACTGAACCAGGTCTAGAACATTTCAAGAATTTTACGTGTTCATCCCATGCAGCTAAGTCTCTATTCTGCCTAAACAAATGTACACATTTTCTTAGATTCTACCCCAGCAAAGGAGTCCTGTATGTGGATTTTATACTGTAATAATTGAGACTGTCTATTGTTTATATAGCAGGGTGCACTTTGTTGAAAAACATCTGTTTAATGTTTAAAACTGGGATAAGTCACTTGATGAAAGTTGGTACCACTGGTGTATTTGGTACCACCAGATCAGCGTCGATTTGAAATTGGGAGGCAGGCTGGCTCCAAAGCCGTGCTCTTCTCTCCTGCACCGCACGCCCCGCCTCACTTGGCAGTCAGGACTCTGCCGGGTGATCTCCAGTGGCTCTTCTGTGTGCCTCCGTTTTCCTTTCTAGAGAAGACATTTCTGATGCTGTGTGTTTTATATGGCAGTGCCTGCTCAGTGCTCTGAACTCCTCCTCATAGGTAGAATATGTGTTCATTTTAGCCGGAACCCACTTAAGGCGAGGCTAGTTTACAAATGTCATATAGCGCGTAGAAGTGTTCAATATGTCTTTGCTGCTGACCAACCAATATCCTAACCGCTTGCCTTTGGTCTGTCGCCTTTGGTAGAAAAGAGTCGTTGAACAGCTCCGGAAGAACCTGATAGTCAAGCAAGAACAGCCAGACAAGTTCCAAATACAGCCATTGCCACAGTCTGAAAACAAACTGCAAACAGCACAGCCGCAACCGCTGCAGCAACTGCAGCCACAGCAGCAGTACCACCACCACCACGCCCCGCAGTCAGCGACGCCCGCTCCCAACTTGACTGCTTCACAGGTAACGTGTGGGGAGCCTCGCAGGCTGTCCACAGGACATCGGTTTGTGACTGGTTATGCAGGATGGGGTCTTGTTTCGGACTCCGTTAACCTAGCATGATTTTAGTTACTTTTTCTACTACAGTTGGGATAAGCATCGCTTGAAACTCATTGACAAAAGGAAAGAACATAATTAAAGAACAAAAGTCAAATGAGTTTTCTACCTGTCCAAAGAAAAGGGAAGAGGTATTCAGTAAGAAAGAAAAATTGCTTCCCTACATTAGAATAGAATTAAAGCCTTACTTTGAGTGTCCTGATTCTAAAGGTCTCTGACACTAAACCTCTTCCAGAATTGTTCATTTATTTTTTTAATGCAGGTGGGGGGTGGGGGGGGGAGATTCTTAGCCATTAGGAGTGGAGCTCTATCGGGATCAATGTCCTTGGGACTAAGTAGAAAGAAACAAGCAAAGCAACTCTTATCTCCATTATTAATAGAGACAAAATATTCAGGTCCATGGCCATAACCTAATTTGGGGTTCTTGCTCCTTGGGGTTATGGACCACTTATAAAACTATTGAAAGCCGTTGGCCTCATGTCAGAAAGACCCACGCTTACACCTGCACACTCACTTGTTTTACGGTGGAGTCACGCACCGCGCTATCTCCTCTGTGGCCACCCCTCAATCAGCAGCACAAAGCCTGCTGTATCTACAGGTCGAGAGGACGGGGTGTCCTTGATCGGGGCAGTGACCATGGATGGTTATTGTGCTGGTGTAGCGATCAGTAAACACCTTGCATGTGATTTGTTTTTAAAGTGCTTAATAGTATTTTTTTAATACTAAGGAAAGTTAACATTTACATAAAAGTTTACCCCTACCAGCCCTCTCCTAACCGCTTCACATGTGTGACATATGTAATGCTTCCCCCGACCCTTTCAGGAGGGTGGCATTATTGTTTCTATTTTCAGAGGCCCAGAAAGGGTAAGGAGTTCACCTGAGATCATAGCGGTAGGGTGGTAGAGCCAAGATGTTCGTGTTGGAAAAAACTATCCATTGAGCCATTCTCCTAGGCTGCCATTCAATTAAAAAAAGAAAGAAGAATGAAATACTACAATTACATAAAATGCCGAGGAAAGATAAAAAAGAGAAATTGTCGTTGTAAATCAGGTATCTTAAAGGGGCCTATGTGTTTTTTACCCTAATCGCCACCCCAAGAGCACTTGGAAATGAGGTATTCAGACTGACTTTAAAATTTCCCTGAGCCAGACTTGTAATGTTCCTGAAAGATGGGCTTTTTTTGACATTTTACACAGCCAGGTTAGATGATTCCTTCTCCAAAATGCAGTTTTTCATCACAAAGTATTTTCATGGAAGGATATGATAGAATTCATTGTTTCTTTGTATGCTGGAGTTTTCTCTCTTAACCCATGGAAACTTTCTGTTCAAGTAGCATTCCAAGTTATGCAAATCAGAGGCAATACAATCACTGTCTCCTTCCGTAGTCATCAGCGTTCTCTGTCGCCTTGGCATGGTGGGTGGGGAAGAGCCACAGACTGTCCCCCAAACAGTGGGCAGCATCTCTCCAAATGGTAGCCCGCCTGATAAATGGAATTGCCTTTGGTTTGTTTTGCCTGATACAAGTGTTTAATATTAAAAACAAAACAAAACGAAAATCTTCTGGGTTGTTTTTGTTCTGTTTTGTGTTTTAAAGTAAACTGTCACTACTGATGGGCTATCTTCTGCGTGTTAGGTTCTGATAAATAAAGAGGTAGTCGCAGTGGTCCCTCCCCTCTGGGAACCCTAGAGCCTAGTGTTCACTCTGACATGTTTTCATTCACTCAGTAAGTATGTGTTGGGCCTCTACGATGTACAAGTACTGTGCTAGGCAATGTGAGCTATGACTTCCCAGAAAAGAGTTTCTGTCTTCAAACTTTTTTTAAATGGAGAGAGCGATGCAAACCGCGAACATAGGTCGAGTGGACGTCCTAGGAAGAGCTGTGACAGCACCAGAGAGAAGGATGAGGAAGCCTTCACAAAGGGGCTGTGCTGGCATGTGGGCCAGGGCCGGCCGATGAATGGCGTTTCAGAGCATGTCGGAGCTGGAGAGCGTGGCCGGTGTAGACAACAGTCGGAACTGAAGGGCGGAGTCTAAAAGCAACTGCACCGCCTGGCAAGGGCACGCAGGCTTGTGTGTCTGGAGCCTGGGGTCCTCAGAAAGACATCAGAGGAAGGCTGGAGAGGTAGGACGGAGCTCATCTGTGCACACCAACGGTTCTGGTCTTTGGCAACCAGAAGAGGGAGTCACGGGAGGTTCATGAGGACGACGTCAAGGCACATGAGAGGTGGGAGGTGACCTAAGTTAAGAGATATAAGTTCAGAACGGCTTAGCAGTTAGGTAGCAATCAGGGTTTACCCTAGACCCCTGGCTTAGCCTACACAGAGGCATTGAGGAAGTCTCAAGTAGGGGGTGGACCAGGATCTTCACTTGGCTAATTCCAACTCATTCTTGTATATGTATTTAGAAATGTTTCCAATAAAGCTGACTACAGGCACACCCTTCAGCCTCTATCCACAAAGCTCTGATCTGTTGTGGTGCAATAGAAACGTGAAGGAAAACACAGTTTATGAAATCAAATAAAAAAATTAGCCTTTCGTGACAAAAGAGTTTCTCTTTTTGGGGTCTGAGTTTACCACAGTGACGTTTCGTTCAAAATTAAAGAACAAAACAGCCTGCATGTTTGAGGGGCTTGCAGCTCATGTTCATGAAACAAGATGTGTGTATACTGTTGAATGGGAAGCTAATTTGCTGTGTAAACTTTCACCCAGACCACAATAGAATGTTCAAAAATAACTGAATAAACTAAAATCGTGCCTTTAAGCAATGAAAGCAAGCCATCTAAAGCGGAGGTTAATTAGAGTCCACAGTAGGCGGCTTTTGTCCGCACTGCTCTGTGCGTTGGCGCCCCCGTGTTTTACTATCCATGGATCGTGCTTTGCAGGCAGGTCAACAACACCTTAACAAAATAAACAATGAAAAAGGATTTTTCTGTGAGTGTTTCCAACTCCTGCGAGTTGGGCTTTGTGAAGGTTCCCAAGCCCTTCCCGAGACTGGGGGAAAACCCACCAGGTTCTCTCGGAGGCTCGCCGTGGACCGAAGTCCGTTTCCATAGAAATAGTTTTGTTTTCCAGACCTTTCCTTTTTGTGTCTTCTCTTCCTCCTGCCAGAACAGTCCAGACACTTTCATTGGGCTTTGATTTCCAAACCCTAGGCTCCCTCCTTCATCTCGACACTGATGCTCCACAGAGTTGGTGCCAACTAGATGATACAGAGTCTTCAGAATGGCCCCACTGGCGCACACAACACTGAAGATACTGATACTGACCCTCCTAGAACAAGGAGGTCCCAAACAACAGTATGCCTTGCCCGCCTTTAAAGCAGGGCCAGCAGGCGCAGCTGTTTGTTGTGTTTGGTTTTTCAGATCCACTCAGTGGGTTCTGCTGACTAGAACTTTCCTTCCACCGGAATTGAATGCCATCTGGTGTGACTTGCTCTTTCAAAAGTTCTTTGTATTTAAATCCCTTAAATTGAATGATAGGACTCGTGTCAGGCTGTGTTAAAAACACTTATTAAATGGCTGATAGTGTAGACTCAGAAACCTTGGGTGCACGTTGGGCTGCCACCCACAGGGCGACTGCCGAGGAAAGATGGGCCTGCCTGCACCTTCCTCCAGAGACTTACAGCCGTGGGATCCAAGGGGGCATGTCCACTCCACCCCATAGGCTGCTATGAGTCAAGACCACCCTCGAGCAGTGTTGGTGCTATCCACTAGTACTAGCACAACAACATTTCGAATGACAAATAGCGTTTAACTTGTACTGGGTTTCCTCATTCATAGAGCGTAAATACGCATCCTGCCCCAAATAAATAACCATTCCCATTTCACTCCCCTTTCACATTTGAGGACAAGGTGGCGAGGAAATTAAGCCACTTCTGTTGCCCTGATGAGGAAGCAGCCAGTCCCGTGCCATCGTTGGAGGCAGCAGTGAAGACCGCCGACTAGGCTGCGGTGGCATAGATGCGGCCAGGTCATTAAAGGTTCTGGGTGAAAGAAGAACTGAAGAAGATGTTTAAGATGAATGATGTGTGAGGACATGCTTCATCTAGAACCAAGCAACTTAAATGCACAGGCACTGAAATGAAGTCCTGGGAGAAGTTGTCAGGATCGGTTTTGGAAAGTGCGGATCACTTGTCACTGGCCAGAGCAGGGGTGTTCACTAGGGCTTTCCGCCGCGTCCTTTTATCTCTGCTGTCCAACGTGGCTGTTGGAAACTTAACCGTGGCGTGTGCAATGAAGGGACTCCAGGTTTTGTTTGAATCAGTTTTGATTCATTTAATTTGGCTAGCAAATGGGCTATCACCAGCATGGAGAAAGGAGGATAGGTGTGGGGCATGAGGACAGTCGGACCGGGCAGACATCCGTGCTCCTAAAATGGCTGTTTTGGAAGGACCAGTTGCATTTGTGCTCTGTGTGTCCGGGTGTGTATCTTGCCATCTTTGTCACAGACTCCTTCAAATTAAGACACAGCTTCAGGGCTGCAGTAGCATGTCGGACGCCCCAGAGAGCCCTCTCGTTTCAGTTCATCCTCTGATCTCTCAGGCTTTTTGAAACTCAGGTGTTTGCTTCCGTCTGGTCACGTTTTACTGCATTCTTTAGTAACTTCGACAGCAGTTCTCCAGAGAGATTAGAGGTAGTGGCTCATATCTCTTTGGTAGCGAGAACTGATAATTTACTAAACTAGTTGGTTAATATGTTTCGTTATCTGGGGCTTGGGATTGAAAGACTCTGCTTGAGGCCCCCAATATCCGTGTCACAGGAGGCAGACAACCAGAATGATGTGCTGCTGGTCGTTCTTCATGTTGATGAGCTGGTAGCAATTAAGGAGAGAGATGACATGCACCGTATTGATTTGCAGCTTTAACATTTTTTCTAAGTGAGAGCAAAGGACTAGACAGGAAGTCAAAGGTGCCCACGGGTTCCATCCACCATTCCACTCCCTGTTGAAACCCGTGTCCGTAATCACTTGCAGGTGCCCGTTGTGAATGAAGCGGGGTTGTCTCTCCCGCAGTAAGAAGTATGCTCTGTACACAAAAGAAACTGTTTCTATAGAGAGAAACTTGGTTGATGGTGAGAATCATGGCCTTATTTCCTTCTGAGGTTTAGCAGAACACTGTTCCGGGGGCTCCCGCTTCGCTGTCCTAATGCCTGTTCTCCGTGTCTCCTAGAAGACTGTGACTACAGCTTCTATGATCACCACAAAGACACTACCTCTCGTCTTGAAAGCAGCAACTGCGACCATGCCTGCCTCTGTCGTGGGCCAGAGACCGACCATCGCCATGGTGACCGCCATCAACAGTCAGAAGGCTGTGCTCAGCACTGATGTGCAGAACACGCCGGTCAACCTCCAGACGTCTAGTAAGGTCACTGGGCCTGGGGCAGAGGCTGTCCAAATCGTGGCAAAAAACACAGTCACTCTGGTAAGCCTGCAGCTGCTAATGATGTGTGTCTACACAAGAGGGCTCAGGATATGCATTTGTTGAATCGGGCCATTTAGACTCCTGCTGGATTTTCTCAGCTTCCGTCCCTCTCCTTCCACACGGGATCCCCCTCCGTGCTGACAGGGGACCGTGCCATTCCTCCCATTGCTTTAATACCTGTGGAGCTGTCCTGATGCAGAGGACCAGAGTTCACTTAGCACATTACTTGAAGTCCAAGTACCACGCCTTTAGAAGAACAAACGTCCTTCACGGAGGCATAAACTTACATTCCCCTCTTCTCCATTCTGCCACTGTCTTCCCCCTCCAATCCTTGGCTGCTGCATTTCATTACTGCTTTGGGGAAAGCTCTCTGCTAGTTCTTTTAAAAAAATTTTTATTCACCCTTTCTTTAAGCTGATCACACCAGGAAGTACTTTAGTTGGTGGGGGCCACATTCAAAATATTCTAAGAAATGTCTAAGTTTTAATGTCCAAGGTCCATGGAGTGGGATGAGGGTGAGAGGGAGGGAATGACCCTTGATGAGGAGGCACGTGGACAAAGACATTGCTCCTCAGGTTTCTAGGGTGTCAGGCCATTTAGAAGCTGATGTTCTCTGAAGCTTGAGGGAAATCTATCCAAATTTTGAATTGAAATCCTGTTCTTAATGGCAGCCAAGAGCGCTTGGTGGTGCCTGATTGATGCCCAGTGATGAGTGAAGTCAAGACGCACTAAGGTGAAGCTCCACCCCTTACCCAGGAACTCCCAGAGGGCAACAGCCAGCTCACTTCGCCAGATGCTAAGGCTTAGGAAGTTCTCTGTGGGAAAAAAGATGTTCACCAGTAGAAAACACTCTTACATTAGGAAAAGGCCCACTTGACCAGGCAGCAACTTTGATTTTACTTTGGACCCTGCCTTTAACTTTTGAAATCTGTAAGAGCAAGATCTCTCGGAGGAAGTGGATGGCAATTGTGGGGTCAGGTGGGTGAAGATGGCGGTGGGCTGACGTTGCCCGGGAGGGTGGAGTGAAAGGGCCCTGTATCGATGACTTTAATTCTTCAGTGGAGGCTGATAGAAAATACTGTCCAATCCAGAGAACAGTGCTGCTGAAAATTCTTTGACTGATGTCTACTTTTGGTACTGAATAGCGGGTCTTCCTCTGTTTGATTGATCTTTCTCTTTTTCAGCAGGTTCAGGCAACACCTCCCCAGCCCATCAAAGTACCACAGTTTATCCCCCCTCCCAGACTCACTCCACGCCCAAACTTTCTCCCCCAGGTGAGTAAACCGTGACCAGCCCTGTGGTGGGTCTGGTGGGACAACAGTCTTCTGGGTGCTTTTCTAAGGAGCCGGGCTGAGATTGGTCACTTCAGCTATATACAGATCCCACTCAGCTAAAAATGCTGCCTACTGAATTCTGTACTTTGAAGAAGCTTATTCTTATCATTAGGGCCTCTTAGCTGTGGGAATGAGGCAAAGGAAAATTACCTGGATTTAAAACAATTGCAGCAACACCATTATAAACCTTGTCTTGTTAACCTATGATAAGGATTTGCCCAAAATCTGCTTGGCACGAGGGAATGAATACGATCAACACTTTCCATTGCTTCCTATGTGTTAGGTAAGCATTGGACCGCTAACCTAAGGTCGGCAGTTCAAACCCACTGGCTTCTATGATGGAGAAAGGTGAGATGAGACTTGGCTCCTGTTAAGAATTTACAATCTCAGAAACCCTGAATAGGGTCCCTGTGAGTCAGAATCAACTCCGTGGCAGTGAGTTTGATATTTACCAAAGAAATTAGGGAAGAGAACAGGGGCCATAACTGAGTCGTAGAAACCATTGTGTTGTAATCTGGAAGGTGGTGGCTTAGAGCATCACACTTAAGCACAGAGCCTGGCCTGTAAAGGTTTGGGTGAGAGGTCTCCACGGGGCACATGCTGCCTAGGCCCAAGCCCTCTGCCTTCCCAGACCCTCTAAGGGTGTTCTTCTAGCACTTAGGCTGCACTCACCAGCCTCGTGGAAGAATGCCAATTGGCTTCCCTAGTAGAAAGGCTGGAGTTTCTCTTTGGGACCCAGGGTTCAGGTGAAGAGGGAATGGAGAGGGCCTTGTGGTCTGCAGCACAAGTGGTTTCCGAATAGCCTACGGGGGCTGAAGGGGGGTAGATGGGCAGTGCTCACATGAGATAAGAGGACCGTAGTAATTTAGCAGATAAATTAAACATCTTCTCAGTGTCATCTTTTAGTCTGAGCCCTGGAGGGAAGTCAGATTTCAAGACAGGCAATTCTTTGCCCTCTGATAGCGTAACGTAGGAGTGGTTGAGCCAATCACAGGACCTGATGCTGCGAGAAGTGCAGGATAGACTGAGAACAGCCTGCAGCCCTGGCCTTGCTCCTTCAGGTGTGTTTCTCTGTTCCCCAGACTCGGGGAACATTTGTGAGACGGGGTTTGCGTCCCTTCAGGGTGCCAAAATTGGCGTTTCAACATGGTGTAAGTCAAAGAGCACAGAATTTGGGAGGCAAGGGCTACAGAGATGGGAAACACACCACTCTTAGAAGTATATATAAGTCTATATGGGGAGGGTATGTTGAGAAACAATAGCTTCATATTTCTGTTTAATAAAGAATTCTTTGATTTTTTTTTAATTCTTTCATTAAAAAAAAAATTTAGTAATACTTTTTTACTTGCCTCGGTATATCTATATGAGTACTGGTTACTACTCTGATTCTGCAGCAGCACAGGGATATCTTAGATTCAACTAAACATTCAGACTCGCAAGACTGTCATGGGCTACTAGACTGGGCATCAGCCTGCTTTGCGTATTGGAGGTCAGAAACCACAGCAGGGCAGCTTCAAACATTCCTCTTCGCTAGATGTCCTTACAGCAGCCACGATAGCAGTCCATACCACCATCCAGAGATGGCCAAGGTCCAAAGAGCTTAGATCTTTATCAGGAAGGTCAGAGTCACACTAATGGAAGCCTTGTGCCCTGTAGGAACCCAGAATATCTTGCAGCAATTCCATAGGCATGGTTTTGCAAAGGTGATGCCGAGTTAAAAGCGTTGCTCCACTCAGGATGCCCAACTCAAGGCTTCACATCAAGCATTTATAGTTTTTACAGTTCAGGTTCGATGTACAAATAGAAGTCACTTTTACTTAACATGAGCAATGTTGCCTGGTAACATAGTTGACATCCTCACCCTTACCGGTTTCCAGGGGAACAGAGCTAGAGAGTAAACTGAAAGCAAAATTCTTGTGCATAAGGATAAGGGATTTTCCCCATGGAGTCACAACCCAGAAAGTGTAAAAACCGTGGCTTAGAGAAAACCTACTGTGTTAGGCCGGGTTGACTAGAAAAACAAATCCAGTGACAGTCATAGACGTATAAGAGAGAGCTTTAGAAATAGAGGAAAGAACCAGGAGGCAAAGGACATTTGTAGAGGTCTAGGTACAGGCATGTATGTATGTAAATATATTTATATATAACAAGAGAGGAATAGATCTATGTACTTATATCTATATGTTAAGAATTAAGGTTGCGGATGGACATTGGGCCTCAACTCAAGTACTCCCTTAACACAAGAACACTTTGTTCTAACAATCCGGCATTCTGTGATGCTCACCTTCCCGACACAATCGTTGAAGACAAAATGGGTGCATAAGCAAATGTGGTGAAGAAAGCTGATGGTGCCCGGCTATCAAAAGATATACCATATGGGGTCTTAAAGGCTTGAAGATAAACAAGCGGCCATCGAGCTGAGAGGCAACAAAGCCCACATGGAAAAAGCACACCAGCCTGTGTGATCACGAGGTGTCAGTGGATCAGGTTATCAGGCATCTAAGATAAGGTGACCAGATTTTAACAGTGGTAAAGCGGGGCACCATTGATAAAACTCATATCCTGGCAAAATAGCCACATGGCAGCCGAGAAGCGTATACCCTAGCTTGCCGTGCATTCTTTCCAAAAATCGGGACTTTTTAAAAACGCCGCGGGATGCGGGGAAAATTTGTTAAAAATCGGGACTGTCCCGCCAAAAGCGGGACGTGTGGTCACCTTAATCTAAGACTCTGAGCAAAATCATATCCAATGTGAATGGGGGTTGGGGGTGCATGGAGTGGAGACCCAAAGCCCATCTGTAGACAATTGGATATTCCCTCACAAAAGGGTCACCAGGAAGGGATGAGCCAGTCAGGGGGCAGTATAGCACCACTGAAACATACACCTTTCCTCTAGTTCTTTAATGCTTCCTTCCCCCCACTATCATGACCTCAATTCTACCTTATAAATTGGATTAGACCAGAACATGCACACTGCTACAGATAAGAGCCTGCAACACAGGGAATCCAGGATAGATAAACCCCTCAGGGCCAACAAAGAGAAAAGAGATACCAGGAGGATTAGGGGCATGTGGGGGTAGAAAAGGGGGAATCAATCACAAAGATCAACATGTATCCCCCTCCCAGTGGGACAGACAACAGAAAAGTGGGTGAAGGGAGACATCGGTCAGTGTAAGACATGAAAAAATAATAATCATGTAAATTATCAAGGGTTCACGAGGGAGGGGGAAAAGGAGCTGATATCAAGGGCTCAAATAGAAAGAAAATTCTTTGAAAATCATGGCAGCATATGTGCTTGACACAATGAATGTATGGATTGTGATAAGAGATGTAAGAGCCCCCAATGAAAGTATTTAATAAAAAACAAAAACAGGAGAGAGAGCTTTATATCAAGAATTACATAATTAGGTATCAAGAAAGCATCCCAGCTCAGTCCAACTCAAGTGCGTAAGTCTGATAATAGTCCATAAATCCTTCTTCAGATTCACACAGTCCCATGCAATGATGCAGAATGCAGGAAAATCACAGGCTTGTGGGTGCAAAGTCTTGTGGATCCAATGGCAGTGGCTCTGGCTGCAATCCTGGTCAGCCAGGAGGAAGATGAAGACAGAGTGGGGGCGGTTCCCAGGGCCCTCCTTATGAGAAGGCTACGCCCACAAGGAGGCACCATCAGGCTGTGACCTGATTGACAGGTTGAATACCACCCCTACACTTGGATATATCTTCAAGTTGACATGAAGTTATGGGACTGCCACATCCAGTAAGTTGTTGGAGGCTCCACAGCAGCTAAGCCTGTATTTGAACCCAGACAAGGCTGACCCTCCATTTTTAGCCACAGTTCCCGCTGCACTTGAATAAGTCCAGTGTCAGCTGGGGTGGTGCAGTTGGATGGACAGAAGCTGACAGGTGGAGACGTGTAGGGACTAAAGGTGGAGTAGGAGGAGTCAAGGATTACTGAATCTTACAAATGGAAGAGAGCTGGAGGGTGAAAACGGATGAGTTTTGAACATGTGTTGATTTTGAACTTCATGGCAGAAGTGCAAGTAGCGAGCTGTGTCACAACAGGCCGTGAATGTGACTCCACGGGTCAGGAATTGTCTCTAGTCCAGAGGTACAAAGTGTGGGCATCATCTGTGTGTAGATGGCATGGGGTTCCATGGGAAACTCCCTAGAAGCCCCAAACTGGACAGCGAAAAGAATAAGCCCACAGAGGAGACCAAGATGAGAAGTGCCAGGAACAGGGAGCTTGAGGGCACACACGGGGCCAGAATGAGCAGCGGGTAGGCAAAAGTTTAGACTGCTGCATTCAAAGTTAACAGTATTCCTACCATGCTGACACAGGTCCTGGTGGGTGCAGTCTCTGAGATTAGGTGGTTCAGCCAGTTCTTTGGCCTCAGCCTGAAGAGGCAGCATGGGGCATAGGCGCGAGCTGAGGGCTTAGCGTCAGAAGCACTGTGTTTAGGCAGGCCAGTGAAGTGAAACCAGAACAGACCCAAATGTTTAAAACGTAGATCATCAAGAATCGGAACGGCAATGGGAAAGCTAGAGGCCAAAGCCCTGGAATGGGAAACGTGGACGAGGCCCACCGAGCCCTTTCTGGAGGCTGGTGCAGGAGCAGAGGCGCTTGCCAGGACCATGAAGAACACACATGGAGGTAGCAACATAGTCAGCCACCAGCTTTGAACCGGACAGCTGTTTTTCACTCAGACAGCCAAAGATTGCGTTACTGTGCAACTCGCACGCTGCCCTTCTTTTCTAAGAGATTACGTTTCTTGCAGGGTTTCTGACCCTTAATTTTCCCTGTTCTGGTTAACATTCCAGTTTGCCTGCATTTTTCAAATTCAGGTTCATTTCATGACTGCCTCTTCACCTGTGACAGACGAACCAGTTCAATGCCTTGATTCCATGGCCATATTAAGATCCTAGGAGTTGGTGAATGTTTCCCAAGATTATGTACTCTTAAAATCTTGTATTAATAATGCCAGAATACCTTTACTAATACATAATTGTCTTAAAATACCATTTCACGTGCATAGTGTGGAAGATTTGGCCATGTCTTGAATCTAGAGGAGTTTAGAAGTTCCCTTAAGTAACGCAGCAATTGCTCTCTTTTTCTCCCATAGGTTCGACCTAAACCTGTGGCCCAGAGTAACATTCCTATCGCCCCAGCACCGCCTCCCATGCTTGCAGCTCCTCAACTTATCCAGAGACCCGTCATGCTGACCAAGTTCACCCCCACGACCCTCCCCACGTCCCAGAATTCCATCCACCCTGTTCGTGTCGTCAATGGGCAGACAGCAACCATAGCCAAAACGTTCCCCATGGCCCAGCTCACCAGCATTGTGATAGCTACTCCAGGGACCAGACTTGCTGGACCTCAAACTGTGCAGCTTAGCAAGCCCAGCCTTGAGAAACAGGTACAGGCCAAATGCGCACCTGCTCTGGGCAGTAGGCTTGCCACGGAGGCAGAGAGAGGCTAACATGCATGCTTACGAGGGCTTTTCTTCTCCTCATGACGGCTCGTGACCTGACTTACCCAGTGACAATTCCTCCACAATGCAACACTGCCGTTCTTTCTGCAGAAAGTTTGTTGGGTCGCTTTCCCCCACCATCCCTTTAGAGATGGGTTCAGATTCCTGTAGGAGCGAGCTCCCCCTGCTGGTTCTGTAGCAGAATCCACAGACAGGCTCCCCTGCCTGCGTAGAGAACAGCTGAGCTAGTAAACAGAAGGCGCCATATTCGATTCTGGCCCAATAGGAATCCGGTAGAGGATGTCCTCTGTGGTGGGCGGTCAGGAAGAATGAGCACAGCTCGGAGAGGAATTTTATTTCAAAGTCTATCTCTACTGAAGAGCCAGAGAAGAAAACTACAGTTTCTATTAAGCAATCTTTTAATTCTTGAGCGTGCAAGCATCTTAATTAGCTCAAATGTTGAAACATTTCCATTGCATTTTCCAAAATGGTCTCTTTGAAAAATGAGGATAGATTTTTTTTTCCCAAATGAGAATAAATAAGTACAGGTTACTACCTCCAAAAACACTGGAGGATCCTATGCAGAAAAGCCTGTAAAATGACAAAGTAGGTGTAAGCCATTACCATATCCTATTTCAAGAAAGCCCCTCGGTGAGAAGGAAGCGTTTGGGGAAAGGAGAAAGCAAACCAAAAACAAACCCACCTCTGTCAAGAACGCTGCTTTAAAAAGCCATCGACCTATTGCTCATTGCTCAGGCTTGAGTCCCCACTCCTCAGAAAACAGTCTCTGGTGACCCTGCCTCTGGCTTCTGGATGGCTGACCAGGATTCCGAGAGGCTGGCCGGATGGTGGGGAGCGGAGACTTCCTGCTGCCTCGGCCTTGATCAGAGGAACCTTCAGTGCAGAGCACCCTGTGCGCTCCCCATGTGGCCCATAAACGCAGTAGACCTTGGCCTTGAAGAAGCTGGGTGCCAAAATCTTTGTGCTTTGGAACGTTCAGCTCAAACCCTGAGACGTACTCTTGAGCATTGAAAACTAAACTGCTCGTGCATTTTATGTTAGAAGTTTCCAAACTCTCTTAAGTTGCAGTGGAACTTAAATCGGGAAATCTTAGGAGTACGAGGCTCGCATGTGGGTCTGGGTGGCGGGCATTTGGAGGTCACTTGCCCGCATGAGCCTTTTCAGCCCATTGAAGAAACTCTTGAGGAGCCTTGGAACCCCGAAAATTTGATTTCGAAACATTTCAGATGGCTTGCTTCTCTTTGACCCTTCCTGGTAAAGTTGTGGGGAGTGGGGGTGGTTGTTTGTTGGCTTTAAAGAAATACCTTTCTCCAAGAAAACCATTTTGTTTCATTTAAATTCATTTTTTAATTTTTTAAATCACAAAGACAATACGTGTTGGTTGTAAACATAAAACCCAAGCAGTGCAGACGTGCTTATTGTAGACAGCACCCCTCCCCACTGTCCACAGAGTAAACGCTGAGTAACTTGCTGTGGTCGGTGAAGGTGAGATTCCCTCCTATTTTCTGTGCGTGGGCTCACATTTTTAAAGGGGAAAAAGTACATATGCTTTCATTTTATAACTTGCTTTTTCCCACTTAAGAGATCTCTTTTTTGTTTGTTTGTTAATCATTTTATTGGGGGCTCGTGCAGATCATCACAATCCATCTATCAGTTGAGTCGGGCATGTTGGTACATATGTTGCCCTCATTTTTTAAGAGGTCCTGAATATCTTTCTATATCACGGCCCCTACATATTCATAGAGATTTGTTTTCATTGTAATATCACAAAAAGGTAATCATTGAATTCTTACGGGTTTTAAAGAATTATTTTTCATCAATAAATTGCATGCCCTCTTCATGTCTAGGTAAAGGAGCTCCATCCGTGCTGTTGACGTTTTCAGGCCCCGAGACAAGTTGCCAAGCTCCGACAGCAGCATGCCCTTTAGACCAGACTCGGTCTCAAAATCCTCACACTTCAGACCCTGTTCCTGGCCTTCTTCCTTAGACATCACTTACAGCCCCTGAGCGCTCTCGTACTGGGCCAAGGGTGAAGCAGTGTCAGTACATACTTAGCCACAGAAGTAGTCTGCCTTCTTACAGAGTCATCGAACCTGTGTGCGACATTCTTCGTACAACCAGGCTACATGTGTTCCTTTCTGTTTTCTACTGTGAGCTTTTGAGTGGTAACTCCTCATTTAATAAATGTGCAGGGCCAGCTGCTGTGCTGCATACATGATGTCTATGGACAAAGGTGGCTGGGCCTATACTGTACCCTCAGGGAGTTCATTCTCTAGTACTGCAGAGCAGGCACGGGGGGTTGCCTCCAGGGAAAGGAGTTGTGTAGGTTTGAAGCTCCCATGCTGGTACAGGAAAGGGGAAAAGCCGTATCACTTACCACCCTGGTCCCACTTCTCTTGCCATACAGCCTACTTCCTGAGCCATCTCATAAGGAGCCCCTGTCACAACTAACCTTAATGGAAGCCCCACTGCATTGGAACTGAGAAAACAACAAGAGATGTGGAGTTTGAAGAGCACTGAGCCTGGACACAACTGTTCTTAAACTGAATGAAGTCAGCCAGCCCCCACACTACCTTCTTTTCCCCCTGGTGCTGCTCATCTCAAGCCAGCTCCAAAACCGGACTAACAGGTGTCAGTTAACATTTTAAGCAGGCCTTAAAACCAGTTCACTGCTGTTTGACCACCTCCTGAGAACTTGCCTTTCCTCCCCAAGTATATCAGAGGTGATGGACATTTTAACCAGATCCTTCTGTGAATCTTACAAATCTCCAAGTGATTCATATTTCTCACTCTCCACCCCAACCCTGACTTGCAGGGAAGGCTTCTGTACACGAGCCCCCCAAGGCTAAGCTGGGGGCAAATGGCTGCATTGCCACCAGGCTCACCACTTCCTTGTAGATAGATCTTGAGGACTACACAGTGGTCTCTAAGAGAAAAAGTTCTTAGAATATGAGGGCCGATTTACGAGAACAGCGTGCGGCTGTGAGGTTCCGTGTCCTGCTTGGGGAGATGCCACAGAAACTGTTGTGATGTTGACCACGGCTGACGTGGACAGCATGGTGGGAAAAACTCAAGTGTACAAGATTTTCAGTTTCGTTTTCATTGTTTCCTCGAATGGAGGGGACATGAAAGGACAGTGATTTGACGATGTAGAAATGAAGAAAAAAATGAGGGAGGTGGTGTCAGCCACCCAAACAGATGAGCTTGAAAAATGTTTCCAAGAATAGAATCGCAGAGTTGACAAATATGTTAAATGTGAGGGAGAGTACTTTGAAGGTGATAAGGTGGTTTTGTTTTTAAAAATTTTAAATATGTAGCTTTGGGAAAAAAGTTGTAGGTTTTCTGGGGTACCCCCTCCTGTAAGCCAGTATAGTATTCCCCTATTTCAGTCTTCCTCACGGGACACTTGTGCTGCTGACTCCCACCTCCAGCCTGTTTTAACAGTGGTGCTGTCCTTTGGCATATAGACCTAAGTGACCAAACAGGATTTGCGTTGTCTTTCAGTAGACATCTGACCGTGCGTATTTATTTGCAAACACTTAACTGATGGCAAAAGCCTTGATGCAGCAGGGGTTAAAGCACCTGACTGCTAACGAAGAAGTCAGGTGACACCACAAGCCACCACATGGGAGAGCAATGTGGCTCTGTTTGAATGTTGTAGCCTTGTAAGCTGGGGCAGTTCTACGCTTCCTGTAGCCTTTGAGTCGGAGTTGACGCAGTGGCAGTGGGTTTTGTTGTGTGTGTCAATGGGTTGGCTAGTGATTTGCTTTTTGTTTTTAATTTTGATTATCCATGCAGCCCAGTCTCAGAAGATGACTTTGAAATTCCAGCCAGAAGTGGTTAACTTAGCCCTAGACCGTCCAAAGCTTTCAGATTCTGTTTTTATAATACCAAAACACCAGGAGCTACAAATTCAGATGCCCTTGAGTGCCAAGGAGGACATGGCCTGCCTTATGCCACCCACACAGTCATCACTGTCTCCACGTGTGCAGCCGCCTCCCCTCCACGGTTCCCACTGTGCTGTCCAGTCTCCCCATCCTGCTGAGCATGTTTTATACAGTTGTTTTTGAGTGTGTGTACGGCAAACCCATTGTTCTGATCTTCCTCAGAGACAGGTTGGTTTGTTCCCCTTGTGAATGTACTTTCCTGGGTCTTTGTCCTGACTTGGAATTTTTGTGTTGAAAGCCGGCTATTTTTAAAAACATTTTAATGTGGTAACTCTAGAAAATCATTTTCTTCTCTCAGGGCGTTTGCTCTTGATTGTTGAGAGCTCTGGTCATCAGTGTAGAGATCTTTTTTTACTTAAAAAAAAAAGCCTGCCTTCCTTATCATGTGTGCGCACTGGAGTATTTGATTATCTCGATGGTCAGAGTCAGCCAGCGACCTGACAGATATTTCCTTAAGTGCCTAGAGCCAAAAAGAAGAGTAAACTTTGAAACGAATACTTTTCTGGTGTTTGCAGAGCCACTCTGAGCCTGGGCCGCTCCAACAGTCATCTGACCAGAACCCTCCCTTAGCCTTTACCTGCAGCCAGATGGACCAGCCGAGGGCCCTTGCGGGGCTCTTGTGAGCACGTGCCCAACGGCGGGCTCAGGCGATGCACTCTGATTCCCCAGCATGTGTGGTAGCTCCTCGAAACCTTGACTCCCCTGAGTCGTCCTCCTCAGCCTTCGCTGCATACTTTGCCACCACTATCCCGACTGGTGGGCTCTTCCTGGTCTTCAAATGCCTTCATCAGCTGCCACATGGAAAACCACGTTAGCCCTGTGGAGTCAACTAAAGGCCAGGGAACCCCCCAGACCAGTCAAAACAAAGAACCATGAGTTACAAGCTCAGCCTTCCCTCCCCTTACTACCATACCACAGAGGAAGCCCAGGCACCATCTCCAGGGCCACTGGCAGTGTGGGGAATGGGGTCTGGTAGCAGGTAAGCAAAATCCCACAGCACTTTCTTACAGAGACGTAGCAGCCTCTTCAGTGAGCACCCCCCCCCCAGTTGTTAGGAGCTCTGGTGGTATGGTGGTTTAGGCAGCTGCAAAGTTGGTGGTTCGATCCCAGTCCTCAGGAGGAAGATGGGATGCCTGCTCCTGTAAGAGCAGCTTGCCCGTCCTACAGTCTCCGAGTCGGTGGAGGCTTCCTTGCTGGGCGTGTTTTATCCGATTCCAGAGTGGCACAGACCCTGGTCCCGGCATTCCTTTCTTGATGGCATCCATAGCTGCCCGGTGGAAAGATTCACTTTGGGAGCATCATCGCCATTTCCATAGTGGTAGATGCCCATCCTACATTTTTCAGTGGGTTTGTTTTTAATAGCGTAAAACACCAAACAGTCATTATCATTTGTTGAGCATCAGGAATCGGGTTGTAGCCTGGCTCAAAGTTTCCCCCAGGTTTGTAATCAGCGTGGTTGGCCAGGGCCACAGTCCACTCAGATACTCTGGGCTGGGCGAGCCGCGTCCACGCTTGGTCCTGGTGGGAAGCAGGCACGGAGGCCTCGCTGGCTGTTGTCAGATTTGTCCGGTTCCTTATCACACGGGGCCTCCTCTCCGTAGTGCTGCCTGTGACGTGGCAGCTGCCTTCCCCCAGAGGGAGATGCTCCCCTTTTGGTATATTTTAATGCTGTTCGGTGCTCTTTATCACATGTGGTATTCTTTTTGCATCAGAGAGAAATGTGAACCTTAAGCCCGCTTGCCACCCAGTCAATTTCGACTGATAGCAGCCCTCCCTACATGGGGTTCCTGAGGCTGCAGACCTCCAGGGAGCAGGCAGCCCTGCTTTCTCCCATGGAGTGACACAGGGGGGCGGAGGGGGGAGGGGCCTGACCTTGCGGGTGGCAGTCCAACGCTTGTCTGACAGTGCACCCAGGCTCCTTTGGTAGTTCCTTAATGGAGAGGAAAGGAGCCTTGGTAGCAGTGTAGTTTGGGCATTAGGTTACTAACTGCAAGGTTGGCAGTTCAAGCCCACCTGCCACTTTGTAGGAGAAGGTGATGCTGTGAACTCCAGTAGAGATGTACTACCTCAGAGACTGTAGAGGGCCGCAGTCAGTCAGAGTGGAGAGTAACTCGTTTGCTCTTCTCCAGGGACATTGCCTTAGAAGTAACCAGTTCCGAGGAGCTTTTCGTCTAGCCGGCTGCAGTGGGATGAGCTCACAAAGCCTTGGACAGAGCAAGCTGTACGAAGATGAAAAGCGGGAGGGGCGGGGAGGGGACCGAGAAACCGAGGGAAGGGTCTTTGGGGCCGTGTCACTTCTTCCAAGCTAGTAAAATATGTCGCAGCGTAATGATTTCTGAGAACTTCCGATGTCCTGCTTTTAGGGCTGCAGGCTTGAGTTGGCTCCTGCCCATTACGGATCCAGACCATTGCATTCTCGTGCATGTGGTTGCTTGTTGCCAGATGTAAAGACCAGCAGCAGCTATGTCTCTTTAAAAGTAAGGTTTGTACCGACGGTTTTACATGCGCTTTTGTAATAATCATCTCAGCGTTTACAAAGGCTTCATCGACTGAGCTACCGTCCGAACAGGACCGCCCGTGGTCTGCACAAATGCAGTGTGCCTTTGAGGGGAGATGCTGCTGGTACCTCCCGAGTGAGTGGATGCTTCTGGAAGAAGGGCTGAGGCTCTTCAAGACATCAGCCTCTTATGGATGGCTCCCCGTGGTCACTGAGCCCCTCGCATGCAGTCAGATGTGTGTGATCCTGGAAGTGAGGGCCGTTGTGCACCCGCTCCTACATGATGAAGAAACGGTTCTTAAGTAGAAGAGCGTGCACACTAGGTTTGTTTTACAGTCCAGAGCTTAAGCCTGCTGTGGATTGGGGTGCGACCCTCTGTTCAGCAGTGGACTTCTTCTGGGAAACGACCCCCCACTGACCCCCCCACCGCTAACAGCAAGTCCTGAGTAAAATGCACGGAAACTGTCAAGACTTCATTTTTAATACTGAAGAATTAAACTGGATTTTCCTTTTTGTACAATTGTTTTTACAAGTTAATATTGATAGGAGATTTGGGGATACCAACTGACGCTTTATATTTCAATCCTCACCCCTCACCCCCCAAAATTGAAATCCATCATGTTAATTCTGTTATTAATAGGCCTCCAATTCCAGTGTGTTTCTTTCCTTCTTTTTGGCTGTGCTGTTTCACCTGCCTTCTGAAGTGTCGTGTCACCTCTCTCCTAGACCGTGAAGCCCCACACGGAAACCGATGCAGAGAGCCGAACCGCCACCCCACCTGCTGCGCCCAAACCCAGGCGGGAAGAGAACCCTCAGGTGGGCACCCCACCCCCCACGTCCTGCAGCAGACGTCGGTCTGGGACTCGTGCTTGTTCTTCGTGGAGCCTTTCCTTGTGCGTCCCCTCCCACAGTCATGTCGTGGCCAACACAAGGTGGCCCAAGGCAAGCCCCCTAAGAGGCGTCACAAGCTGCATGGTAGTGTGCAGCCATCTGGGCTGGTTCCTAAGAAAGCTTTGTGATGCCATTGTTGGACACATTTGAAATGTAAGATGAATGATCATTTCCGCAGCTCTGCATCCCTGTTGATGATAATGTTCTGTTTGTCTCTGCCAGCACCCGTGAGGTGTCTAGTGCACTCCGCCGCTGCTTCCTGCTGTTACCAGTCACAGTTATGAAATGGACATTTGTGTAAATACAATTGTGTCCCATTAGATCCCTAAGTCCCAAGGGAATCGGGGCCTCAAAACTTCAGTGAAGTTCTGCGCTCCAATGTTCAGAAGTAGGGATGAACCCAGGGAGGTCTGTGCTGCAACTTAGAGAGCACCGGGAGGGTTCTGCCTGTGAGGCTTTTGCCCGAGCACCTGTAGAGTGTGGCTAGGTGTTAGGATGATGACTGTCTGAGAGTTGGATTTTATTAAACCAGTCTGCCATTTCCCTCCATCCCTGGTGCATTCCATGTAATGCAGGAGGCCATCAAAGCTTCGTGCCTTTTTTTTTATCATCATTTTATTAGGGGCTCATACAACTCTTATCAAAATCCATACACACATCAGTTGTGTAAAGTGCACTTGTACATTCATTTTTTAAAAAGCAGTGATTTATTTAGCCTGTCCAAGTTTTTCTAAAATGAGTATAAAATAGAATTCTTTCTGATAAGAAATAGATTACATTTTAATCTTATCTCTAAAGAAGGGACCAAGACTTGAACCAAAAACAAGCCTCCCAGACTGCTGTAAAACTTGTAAAACCAGCCACAAAGCTAATGACTATCTTGCTGGAGGAGAGAAAAGAGAGCCAGCTCTTAGCAAAATGCTCTTACCCTAGTTAACTAAAGGAAGTCTCTTATCAAGCAGTATGGACCAGGAGGCTGATCCTGTGTACCAGCAGAGCTATCCCCTCAGATGGACGGACAGACAGAACCAGTAGATTGGAGGGGGGGGGGGTGTGGTCTATGTGTGTGATATATACATAAAGGAAACTTACTTGAAACTTTTTTATTCTGTATCACTGAAAGCCCTTTCCACTGGAGAAGAGATTGGGGGTTTGTTCCAATTATTTTCTGACAAGTTGTATCGGAATGGCCAAAAGGGGTGCTCTTACTTGATTGAAAATGGGTGGACGTGAGTATCAGCCCACGCTCTTCTTTATTAACAAAGTAATTTTGATGGTCAGCCTTCTAGTCTTGATTAAGTTTTGAAGGGATCATGAAAATTAGAGAAACATTTGACAACCACAAACGTGCCATTTCAGTGGTCAGTATGAAAAATGAGCAGTGAGTTCAAGACCACTTTTCTTTCTGAAGTAGTCTGGCTCTCAGGAGGTTAGGCGACCACGTAAGTTGTCTGAGTAAGAGGCGAGCAGTGTGAGCAGTGTTTTCCGGGACTCGGACAGCAGCAGCAGAGGTGTTCTCAGGTGACCTGCTACAGCGTGTGCCTTCACACAGCAGGGTCCTGAAGACCCTGCACCTGTACCATCAGTCCAGGCTGGTGGTTTTTAAGACTGAAGATACGATGTCAGGGTTTTTTGCAGGGGGGTGGCGGTGGTAGGGGGGAAAGGCTCGATGCACTTTATTATTTTTTATATAAAATCGACTATGTGGTACCCACCGCTGGAGCCTGGGTCCTCTGCACGGAGACTCTGGTGTGGGTCTGCACAAGATGGTCAGTGAACTCCTGGTAGGGAGATTTGGTGAACACTGTCTCTTTCCAGAGGTCAGCGGTCAAATAGGTCAAATAACTGTCGGTCCTGGAGAGGGCATCAAAGGAGGCCTTGGTGAAGTTGCTTAGGGTGGCTGGGCAGCCCTTAGGTGAGGTGTAGCAGTCATCAATCCCTGCCATCAGCAGCAGCTTCTTGGGCACAGGGGCTGAGATGATGCCAGTGCCCCTGGGGGCAGGGATGAGATGCGCAAGCACACACACACACAGCGGCCAGTCACCTTGCAGGGGACCATGTGGGGCTTGCCGATCTTGTTGCCCCAGTAGCCTCGCTGCACAGGGACGAGGGACAGCTTGGCCAGGATGATGGCCCCATGGATGGCGGTGGCAACTTCTGTGGAGCATTTGACACCCAGCCGATGGGGCCGTTGTTGTCCCCCATGGTAACAAAGGCCTTGAACCTGGTCCGCTGGCTGGCTCTGGTCTGCTTCTGCACAGGCTCACGATCTTTAGGACCTGGTTCTTGAGGGCCATCCCCAGGAAGAAGTCAGTGATCTCAGACTCCCTGATATCCGGGCGGAAGAACAAGTAGATCTCCTCCAGGGACTTGATCTTCGTGTCCTTGAGCAGACGACCCAGCTTCCTGACAGGGAGCCACTCCTTGTCTTCGGCTTTTCCTCCATGAGCTCCTCCTTTATCCATCAGAGAGAGAAAGTGATGCTGTGTTGTTTGCACATTTAAAAAACCACAGCCCCAAAGCAAACCAGCAATCAATCCACTTTTCTCTCCAGCTTGGAAGCAGCCAGCCTTCCGCTTGAGGCTGTACTATTCTAATCCACTCAGCTTCGGATGGAGCCCGAAGAGTGGGCTTCTGCAAGGAAAGAGCTCCAGAATGCCAAGCGCAGTTTTAAAACAGTATGACTGTCACATTATCCACATATAGTCTGGTCAGCAAGAAGAGTTGTACAATCGCTACCACAATCAGTTTTAGAACATTTTTTCCTTGTACTTGTTGTTAATTAGCTCCCCATTCCCCCTACCCACCAAACCTCCTTTGCCATACCCCCAAGAAACTATTACTCCAGTTACTGCCTCTCTACTTTTATCTACCCTGGATTTCAAACACACACCCTGTAACAAAGGTAAGACAGAAAAACTTCAATCTAAAAGAGAGTAGAAAATATTAGAAACTAGAACAAATTTAAAATTGATCAATAGGGAGTTCAAATGACAAGGTGTTAGATTTTAACATAACTATCTCTTCAATAATCCACTATCTAGTTTACTCTGCATGATAACAAGGATATTTACATCCCTGGTCTGTGGTCAGAGGGGATGCACCAGAGGCTTAATCCATGTGTAATTTCACCTACACTTTTGGAAACAACTTTTAAATGGCTCAAAGGGAGACTATACCGTACTCGATCTCACAATGCTGTCTGATAATAAGGCTGTTCACATTCATTGGAGGCTTAATCTAGATGCAAATTTAATTGAGAGCAATGAAAAATTCTTAAGCAGAATCACCTGCTGCCATTCCCCAAAATGTTTAGCTTTGCATCGTGTTGTCTAATCAGTGGGAATAGGATGTGACAAGGCCTGACCCCAGTGTGACACGTGACATACTAGTACTTGGGATTTGGAGCCTGTTATGCGTGCAGCAGCATCAAATCCTCTTCCCTCTCAGTGAGAGAAAAAGCCTGTTGTCCCTCAGGAGGCTGAGTCCCGTCGTGCAGAAAGTAGAAGACGGAGGTTCCTGTGGGACCAGCGAGTCTCCACTAGGAGTGAAGCAGTCACCCCGCCTCTTGGGCAACCCCCCTGTTGGGCTGGCTTTCTCCCAAAGTAGACCTGCATGCACTTGGCTTTGTGGTAACCCGCACTAAAGTGCCTTCTTCTTTTGTTTCTCCGCCACAGAAACTTGCCTTCATGGTGTCTCTGGGGTTGGTAACACATGACCATCTAGAAGGTAAGAGAAGGACCCGTGTTGCGGCCTTGCCTCTGGCCCAGAGCAGTGTTACTGAAAGTGGCGTTTGCTCGCATTCCTAGCATAGAACACGGGAGCACAAATAGGGGATGAGTCAACCAGGGTGGATTTTGAATTCCCTCAGAGGAAACCTGGCTTTCCCTCTGTCTACTGTTCAGACACTCCCTTTCCCATCATTATCCACACTGCTGCCCTGGGCAGCCCGTCCTGCTGCTCCTGTTTGGTGACTTCTCGTCGCATCATGGGACTGGTATTTTTCCTGACAACACAAAGTGGCAACTGCCTGTGCTAATGACAAGCCCTTATAGATACCGTCACCTCACTCCAGGCTCTGAGAATCTTAAGAACAGTTACAAAGCTGTACCTGCCCTGGTTATTTAATTCGAGAACGGTGAGCTGTAGTTGGCCCTGTCTGGTCCCTGGATGAAGCTCAGGCACACCTGAGTGTACAGGGACCCAGAAACAAACCAGGACAACTTATTTGCGCTCTCGGTCCCAGAGAGCTCCCCGTGGGCAGCGTGGCCCTACTCTCCCAAAGCATGGCAGGTCATGCGTGTCTGCTCCCAGCAGGGCAAGTGCCTCTGCCTCATCCGTGGAGGATGCAGTGTGCCCCAACTGAATCAGTCGATGAAACAGTGCAGTTAAGCTTTTGGGATTCTCCATGCCTCATCTCTAATCCAGTCCTTTTCCCCCCAAGAAATCCAAAGCAAGAGGCAAGAGCGAAAAAGAAGAACAACGGCCAACCCCGTGTACAGCGGAGCCGTCTTTGAGCCAGAGGTATTCCCGGCCAGCACGTGGCCCTGCCGCCCTCCCTGCTCCGCTTCTGTTTTGTTCGGTGCTGCCCATCCCAAAGCCTGCTTTTGAGCAGCACCCCCTTGGTGACTGACGACTTTGTGAAGAAATAGCTTTTTCTCGGGCTCACAGCTTTGCTCATTTGATTTTCAGTCACAGCTTTCTCCTGGGGTTTTTGTTTGTTTGTTTTGTTTTGTGTTTTATGTCCTTTACAAACCTACCTTAAAAAATAAACTCATCCCGGCTTGACCATAGCTCTTACCTGAGGCAGACCTGGGTCTCTCTCAGAGCCACGTGAGTGCCATGAAACCCTTTACCTCGGAGACGCCGGGTAACTAGCACTAACTAGTTAGCATGTTGGCCTGCACGCACGCTGTGCTTGCTTGTTAGCGTGTCCAGAATGAGCAGGAACCGTGCTGTTCAACCGCTCACCTTTCCCTCCTTCTATCCTCTAAGCGTAAGAAGAGTGCCGTCACGTACCTGAACAGCACAATGCATCCTGGGACCCGGAAGAGAGGTGAGCGCCTCTGTGCCTCTCCCTCTCCCTGTCCCTTGCTCTGGCTCCTGCCCCTGCTCTCCCTGCCGTCCTTCCTCCCTCTCTCCTCTCCTCGGGCCTGTCTAACTCCCGTATCCCTCGAAGATAGTTTAGTGGGTCTTCTCTGAGAGGGGGCAAAATCAAGAGTTTGGTTTCTGATCAGAACCCCGCATGCGGAGTCAAAGCTGACTTCCTTGGGGTTCTGGCAGAGCTGACCCGGGAAAGGCTGAATGCAGTGTTTCTGCCCCAAGCCTACCAAGCCATCCACGAGTAGCCAGGGAACAGAACACCGCCCTGCAGTCGCCGAGCTCTTCCTCCTGGTGTCTAAGTCATCCCCGGAGCTCGCTGCCGGCGAGGCCAGAGCCTACGTTTCTAAGGGCAGCCGACTTTCCAGGAAGGGTGGCGGTCACCCGCACCCCGAGAGTTAGACTAGTGAGAGGGAGCGTGTCTCCAGCGAAGGAGGAACTGGGCTCCCAGGGCAGAGATTTCTCCAGAGCCCTGTTCTCCTGTTTCAGAGCTCCCACCCCCACCCCGAGAGGGGACACGTTCCACCTCACTCTTAGGGCAGAAAAAGCAGCAGCAGCACCATCTCTCTCGGTACAGGTCTAAATAGGTCTTAATAGCTCAGGGTTTGCGCTCATAAACAAGCTGCCAGAATTGCTCTTTGAGGTCCGTAATACATCCCCAGGTCCCCTCTCGGCAGGATAATGTGTCCCTGAATCACAGTTCCAGGCTGCAGAGGGTGCAGAGTGAGAGCAGCAGCATGCTAATGTTTGCATGTGCACACGCTGTCTCAGAGGTGACGGACACCCTTTGTGTGCCTGCACACAGGACTGCGTTGGTACGGCTGCCACTATCACCCACAAAAAGACCCCAGACCCTCCCTCGGTGACCCGTTCTAATGATCGCTGCAAAGATTTAGTTGGGAATCCTTGAGTCCTTGCATCCCTTTGATCTCTGGACTACAGTGTCGTTTTTCATTGCTTTGGTTGTGGCAACGTTCCGTGATCTCTGATACATTTCTTGGAAAGGAGCCCCCAGCCAGAGGCCTGCAGGTGGGCAGTATCCGCTGAGAGGACAGGGGTTAAATGGGCCAGAGAGACGGAGACCTCTTCTGCCAAGGTCAGAGGAGGCGAGTCTGCATCCACAATGTCTGGGATGAGCCTTCCCTGTGTAACAGAGCATTCATCTCTGCCTCCCCTTCTAGCTGGAGAAATTCCCCAGAAGAGACAGACCAGCCAGAACCTGGCCGTGTGCGGTGGACCCTGCCAGTTAGAGCAGTTAGTGATGTTGGGCTAGTCTGGCAGATGCATGCCTCTTGGGTGTGACTGTAGAGCCCTGATTCTCCATACCACGGGCCTGTGCTCGGAGGCAGTATTAAATCTCCTCCCTCTCCTTCCCCTCATTGGTATGTCGGGCACGTATATTTGACCATTCACAGCTTAGGAGCTGTGAGCGAAGGAACAGACTGAGGTGTTTCAGAGGCAGGGATAGGTGTCTTGGATTCAGCTGCCGGCCAGAGGGCGCATTTACAGACCCTGCAGTTTGGGGCAGAATGCTCTTGCCTAAACCAGGTGTCCCCGTTCTCAGCGTTGCAGATGTGGGTGGCCTTCCTGAGACAGGAACAGCCCAGTTCTTAGATAGGTAATTGGCCAGGACATTTAGGGTGGTAAGTGGAAAGATCGCGTTCAGTCAGTTGACGGGGGCATCCGAGGCCAGAGCCAGCCCCAAGCTTCTGTTCAGCTGCTAGTGTCCGCCGAGATCCCAGCGTGCCTGCACTGGCTCTGCCATAGGCCAGCAAGGCCAAGAGGAGCCACCTGAGCTCTGCCTCTGTGTGTTTGTGAGCAGGGAAGTGACGAGAATGCAACCAGGGAAGAGCGGAAAGCAGGGATCCCAGACGCATTCCTTGATGAGGGCTGAGAATCACTAATGCAACTGTACAGAATGGTTAGACAGAAAGCTTGGAGAATGGGAAATAAAGTTTTTTTTCTAATAGAACAAATTGGATTCCAGGCGTTGACTCTCTCCCAAATTGGGGTAGGCCCAGAACTTCACCCTCACTGGGCCCAGCCACCTCCTTTCACTCGGCCAAACTCTCCAATCCTCGCCTCTTTTGAACTAGCTGTTTCTAATGATGTTTAAATCTCTGCTTCTCGTCCTCTCCTGGAGACTGTTGTATTAACCTTCTGTCTGCTACCTCACTTCCTTTCCATGCTAGCCAATGAGGAGCACTGGCCAAAGGTATGTAAGGTCATGTTCCCCCTTTCTTCCCCTCCCCCTCCCCCTTTTGTTCCCCTCTCTTGGTATATAGGTCGTCCTCCAAAATACAATGCAGTGCTGGGGTTTGGAGCCCTTACCCCAACATCCCCCCCATCCAGTCATCCTGACTCCCCTGAAAATGAAAAGACAGAGACCACATTCACTTTCCCTGCACCTGTCCAGCCTGTGTCCCTGCCCAGCCCCGCCTCCACAGACGTAAGTAACCCGGGGAAAGTCGCGCTCTCTGAGAGCCCGAACGGGGAGAGCCGTGGCCAGCTCTTGTCTCCTTCCCACCTCGCACCACTGCACCTACCCGGGGAACAGCAGTCATGCCCACAGGAGCTTCCCGATGGCACGGAAGACAGCTTTATTCTGGGTCCGAGGTCCTTCCAGGTCCCTGAGAGGCGTGCTAGACGCGACGTCAGGAAGCGCTGTCTGAGTTTTCAGAGCACAGTTGGAGCTGCTGGGAATTCAGTTCGCAGACTGTGGGCTGAGATGATGGGGCAGTCAGCTGGTGGAGTGGGGGGTGTGCAAGACCTGTCCTTAATGTTTGGGAGTGGGCACAGTGAGCAAGCCACCGTGGCTTCCTGTTGTGTGCAGAATTCAAGAACGAGGTGGTTTTTTGCCTTCTTTAAAGTTACTTTATTGAGCAGAGTTGGTCAGAAACAGGTTCTTGGAACAGTGTCACATACTACTCAGTAGTCCTTCATCCAGACACTTCAGGAGTGGGAACCGGCTCCCTAAGCCCTGAGATGAGTGTTCATGAAGCAGTGAGCAGCCTTCCCTTCAGCCATTTACTTAACAAGTACTTGAGCATGATGCGGCTGCAGCTCTGTGTCTGTTCTTCAAGCTGGGGACACTGCAGGGGGGGAGGCCAGCCCCTGTGCCCTCCTGGAGCTCAGCCTCCATGGGGAAGAAGCAGATAATGAGCAAATGAGTCTATAACACATCGAGTCGTGGTGAATGCAGCAAAGACAAATGAAACCATGAGGGGCATGGGGAGTTGTGGCAGGAGGCTGCTGGTTTATGAAGAGTGGTGGAGAGGCTCTCAGATAGGGAGTGAAGGAGCAATCCACAGGACTGGCTGAGGGAGAGGCATTCAGGCAGCAGGCACAGCTGTGCAGGAGCCTAGAGGTGCAAGTGTCCAGGTGTGCTGGAAGGGGCAGAGCAGGCGACCGCGCACGGGTGGGACAGGAGACCAGGGGGCGGGCGGCAGGTCCCGTCTGCAGGGCCTGTGGCATTCACTCACCTGGAAGCATAAGGTAGACTTTGCAGGGTTTTGAGTAAAGGAGTAATTTTTTTCTGCTTCATTTTTCATTTTAGAAAATTTCAAACCTACAGAAAAGTTGCAGTAGCAGTGCAAGGATGAGCATTTCACCTAAATGCACCAATGCTTAACATTTTCTTACACACACACACACACACACACAGTTTCTGAAGTAGCTAATAGTGAGTTCTGAACATCATGAATCTTCACAGATCGCCCCAGAGGATAAGGGTATTTTCTTATCTACCACAGAGGACAGCCTCCTAGACTATAAAAGCTCTTACCGAATGTATGACCGTTAGTATTGATATGATATTATTGTATAATAAACAGTCTACATTCTGATTTCTCCAATTGTCCCAATAATGGCCTGCGTGGCACTTGTCTCCCCACCCCAGGATCCAACCCAAGATCACGCTTAATATCTATTGTGTTGTTATCTCCTTGATCGCCTTTAATCTGAAATGTTCTCAGCTTTTCTTTGCTTCTTGTGGCATTGGCATTTCTTATAGGCCAGTTGTTCTGCTTGGACTGTGTAGTTGTTTCCTCGAGACCAGATTTGATCCTTGAAAAGGGATGCATTTTCGTGTTCATGGGCACCTCGGCTCAGCACGACACAGACTCAGGTGTCAGCTGGAACTTGTGAACTTGCATCATGTCATTGCTTTCGCCAGTGTTCTCTTAGAAAGGTGCGTGCTGTCCTTTGGTGGAGATGGCTCTGAGACTGTGAGCATCCTCCACCACCACCTTGACTCCAACAGATTGCTGCCTGGTCGTTTTAGCATCCTTCCACAGTTCTGCACTTGTACTGTTAAGGTGTTTGCCAAAGCGGCTTGGGTTTGAAAGGGCGCACTGTGTATGCAGTATGGAGCCGAGGCTGAGGGGGCATAGGGAAACTGGTAGGGGGCTGTTGGCATCATCCTGGCAAGGCGATCGATCAGCTGATGGCTTGGCCTGCGAGCAGTAGCGATGGCAGAGGAAAGGGATGGGACCTGCATGTGTTTTGAAGAGCAGCCAGCAGCACTGGGTCGTGGGGTTTGAGGAAAAGGAAAGAGTGAAACTAACTCCAGTGTTCCTGACCTGAAGAACGACACGATGGAGCCTGCCCTTTACTGAATGGGGATGCTGATGAGTGAGGGGTGAGGAGGGAAACCAGGAGCTTCGTTTGCACATGTCCCATCCCCATCTCCATTTGGGAGGCCCATTGCTTGTCTCTGACCATCTCCAGGTCAAGGGTCCCCTAGACTTAGGGGTTCTCAGAACTTACTGATGGCCTACCCCTCTCCAAAGAGCAAAAGAAGAACATGTAGACATTTGAAGCCAAACATGCTCTGTCTTCAGCTGTTCTGGTCATGACTACCAGGAGTCCCTTGTTGGCTGGCACAAAGACCACCAACTGTCCTCAGTTGCAGCATTGCCAAAGGGTTGCCATCTCAGAACGTGGTCGGGCTCTCCCGCAGCACGGCCGGTGCTGGAGACAGGTGCTGTTGTGCGGCTCCTTCCGTGCGTCGTTTTCTTCCTTTCCCTTTGCCTGGGGGGGCGTGTTGTTTTCTTTCAGAGACTCAGCTCCAAAGATGGCCTCGGAGCAGCTCACAAACTGAAAAATTCTGTCCAGCCCCACTCAAAGTGCAAATAGTTTGTTCTTTTCAGAAATCTAAAAGTAAAAGAAAGCTCTTCTGAACCCACTGAATATGTCCACACCCTCTTAAGTAAAGCCGATGGAATGGATTTCTTCCTCTTGTTCTGTCTTCTTTTTTAAAAAGATAACTCGCTTCTACTTTTTCCCTCTCCCCACGGTGGCAGTGATTAAAGTCCGCGCCCAGAGCTGTATGTGTACTGCTGGGTAGCATGGCTCCGGCAACATTCATTGAACAGTCAACCCTGGCGAGGCAGGCATTTCCTGGGGACCAATAATCATCTGAAAGGAGTTGGTAATAAGCAACTGGACCCTCATCCTCAGGATGTACCTTGCGGCCACTGTCATCATTCTTAAGAGACGAGAAGATATGTTGACTTAATTACAACATCCCCCCCGCTCCCGCAAATGATGACATTGCAATTGATAACAGTGAGGGTGATTCCAGAAAATGTACGACCCGGGTGCCTGGCAGGCCATCGTAGATCAGCTTCTTTCACCTCTGGATTGCACTGCCTCCGTGGAAGCCCTCAGCTCACTTGGAGCGAAGAACATGGATAGACTGAAACTGTGGGCTGCAGTTCTCAAAGTGTGGTTTGGAGCAAGGGATCCTTGCGGCTCTCGGGAGGCCCATGGAATCAACACTGCCTTCATAATAAGCCAAACCTGCCACTTGCCATTTTCCCTCTCACTGTCTCGGGCGTTGTCCAGGGAGCCTCCCAGAGACGCGTTACGTGCGAGGCTGCCTCCACTGTCAGCTAACAGATTGTGCACTTCTGTGTTCTTGGTTTTGAATCTCTCACTCGCCTTTTTTGTAACTTCCTGGGAATCCATAGTTATTTCAAAACAACACGTTACGAGTTAATGGAAAGCAGATCTTGAGAGCTCTGGTGCACCTAGACAGAAGTTTTTCAGGGCACGGTCGGGTGAGCGTTGGACTGTGCGCCACAGGTTCAGTGGTTCAAATCCCACACCAGCTGCTTCCCGGGAGAAAGAAGAGGCCGCCTGTTCTTGTACGTTTACAATGTCGGAAAGCCTGTCAGCGTCACTGTGAGTCAGGGTCAACACAGTGGTGGGGCTGTAGGTTGTAAAGGGTTCCAACACCGGAAAGATAGAGAACTGCTTTCGGATATATAAACAGAAGAGGATGTTTTCTCTCCTTCAGAAAGGAATTCCTGAACCTTTGCTGCTTTCTACTCCTTGCCTTTAGCTTTTTGATGTTTTCTTTAACCTGGAGCCCTGGGAAACGGAGCAAAACTCCAGTGACCCAAACCCATCGTCTGGATAGGCTGTCCAGCTTACGTCCTCACTGCTGGGTCCCCACAGCTCACATCACAAAGCGTCTGACGCCCACCACGCCATGTGTGAGGTGTCTTTAGGCTGCACGAGTCCAGCACAGCCCCTTCAAGGAGGGCTGGCCTCCCCAAGGGAAGCATGCCCCTCAGACCGGTTGTGAGAATGGAAGGGGAAAGGCAGTTAATTGGGGTGAAACTCTGCACCCCTGTGGGTGCTGAGAAGTTAAATTGTGAGGCTGAGTTCTGTAATCCGTTGTCTTCCTGCCAGAGATGACATTTCCTTAGGAAGAAATCAGTCCATCCGCACTGTGGTGCACCGTAGAACTGTTCGCACGCAGCCCGCCTTCCGGGTGGCCAGACCCCCTCTCAAGTTACAGGGAAAGTGGTCTTTCTTTGACAGAGGCACGATGGACTTACGGAGCTGTCTGTGGCTTCTCTGAGTGGCAGTGGTGGTGGGAGCCTGAGAGGAGTGGCCTTGCTCGCTCTCGGCTTCCTGTGTAGTGAGTGTGTCAGGCCTTCTGGAAGAATGGGCTGGAAACTCAAACCAGTGCTGTGGGAAAGGGCCCGCTGCAGGTGGTGGGGCACACCTGGCACCCTCCACCTCTCGGTCACAGTAGCGGGAATTCCGGTCGGCGAGCCGGCTGGAGGTGACTTGCAGGAAGAGGCCTCTCTCGGAGCTCCTCTCCTCTCTGTGTTCTCCTCTCCAAATTCTACCCACGTCCACTTCTTCCTGGCGGGACCTTCTGTGCCCAGAGCCCCCGCTCCTTCACCTGGGGAGAACGGGCCGAGGGGACTGGGGCTGATTCTGCTGGAGTGGACTGGGGCTGATTCTGCTGGAGTGTGTCACAGGAGGAATAATGGACGAGCTGTGTAACAGCACATGTCAAACACTGGTTTAAGAGAACGTTCGTTGTCAGCTGTTGCTTGGCTTTTTGAATTCTTCACGTCGGAAAGCTCATACAAGTGTAATTTGCTCCTGACTTAATCTTCCCGCACTTGAACTTCCACTCCATCTTTTGTCTGTTGCTCTCCCTCTCCTTCTACATTCCCCTCCCCTGCAAAGGGATAAGAACAGAGGATCGTTCAGACCACCTGGGAAATGCTTTGACGAGTGGAGTTTTAGGGCTCTCTGCTCGGGTTTGTGAGTTGGACTCAACAAAAATGTACTGAATGCTGGGCTCCGCCTGGGGAGTTCCTTTTGCCCTGCGAATCTACTTTCCGATTAGGAGCGCTGCCCCCTCAGGGAGCCAGGGCTGTGTGGTACAGGCGGGGCCGTGTGCCCCTGGTGGTGCTGCGTCCCGTGCACTGGCCACCAACTGCCCCATGGCACGTGCATGCTTCCCGATGTCGGCGTTGAAACTCTTTCTCTTCTCTCACCTCTCTTCTCTATTCCGTAGGGTGACGTCCATGAGGACTTTTGCAGCGTTTGCAGAAAGAGTGGCCAGTTGCTGATGTGTGACACGTGTTCCCGTGTGTATCACCTGGACTGCTTAGACCCTCCTCTGAAAACGATCCCCAAGGGCATGTGGATCTGTCCTAGGTGTCAGGACCAGGTACTGTGGTCAGATAGTGGGGAGGGCTGACGAAGGGAAGATAGCACGGTCAGGCCACATCAGGCGTGCGAGGCTCCTCGCTCTGCAGCCACGCCTGCCTTCTCCCAGGCCCAGCATCTCACAACACTCGCTCCTGACGAAGCGCTTCGTCTGGGACACGAGGCGGGGGCTCCAGGTGCAGGTGCACAGAGAGCCCCCTGCTTGCTCTTTGCTTGAAATGACTTTTCTTCTCTTGACCCTGAAGAATCCATAGGGCCTCATTTTCTGAAAAACCATCCAAGCTGAATATGTAGTCTTGGAACTCGTTAAGTTGGGAATGGGATCTCTACAGGAAGGTGTGAATGGGGTGTTTAATTTACACGACAGCAGTTTCTCCTCTGTGGGCGTCAGGCTCAGAACGAACTACCCTGCTGGCTGGATATTTCCGGCATGAATGGTCTGGTGTGCTCCCTCCTCCTCTGCTTGGGTCTTCCCAGCTGTCCATAGGTCTTTACGTGGTTGTTACAAACTGTTGTCATGCGTCTTTTAGGCAATAGGTAAGCTGTTAAAATTAGTCCAGTCACTTGGTGAGCTCTGGAATCTCACTCACCCCTGAGGAATCCAGACTGGAAAGAATGCTGGCTTTCCCCCTTGGAATCCCAGCGTGACGCTATCTCCATGGCCAGGAGACACACCTAGGTCTCTTTCTGATACTTCCTTGTGACCGCGGTTCCTTGTCTAGTCAGGGTCCAGGTGATACCTTTGTATTGAAGCTATGAACGTCCTTGGTCAGGCTGACTTTGAGGAAGGTAGAAAGCCACAGTTGAGGCAGGCAGCCCACCGCAGGGTCCAGGTGAAAGGCCAGTGGCTGCTGTCGTCATGCTGGCTGGTGGCTCAGGCTTTTGGGAGGGGCTGGGGTTATGTGGCACCTGTGGAGGCTCAGACAAGCCCCAGCCTCTTCTAAGCCAGTGTTCAAGTGGCTTGGATCTTGCTGCTTAGAGCCTCCCCCTCCCAGGCTGATACCTAGAGCTCTGTAGCCAAGAAACGATGGATCAGGGTTCTACACCATGACCGCAGTTAAGCCCTTCCGTTCTGTCCGCCGTTAGCGGAAGACAGAGTTGACGGCTGTGTACACAGGGGAGGTAGGTTCACACCCCCTTGTCAAGGTCACGCTCTAAAATCTTTTCAGATGCTGAAGAAGGAAGAAGCAATTCCATGGCCTGGGACTTTAGCAATTGTTCATTCCTATATCGCCTACAAAGCAGGTAAAGAATCGCCCATGCCCCTGTCTATGTAAGCCTCCCATGGATGGAAAGCCATGTTTGTTTGGTTTTCAAATGGAGATTCAAAGTGATCTTCTTAGTGAAGCGGTCAGCTCACATACCACTTTGGGGTGGGAGGGTTGGACACACAGGAGGGCGCAGAGCCCCCCACACCCTAAGAGTTCCCCTAGCAGACTGATCCCTAGAGAAAGGGTGGGAGGTCCTGCTCGCCGGCTGGGGGACTCAGGAGTTTTCGGAGAGACCTTCTTGGGTAAACATTCTAAGCACAGTGGCCCTTCTACCAGATTGACTGCTAAAAACTGCCTGCTCTTTTCAGCAAAAGAGGAAGAGAAACAGAAGTTACTTAAATGGAGTTCAGATTTAAAACAAGAACGAGAACAACTGGAGCAGAAGGTGAAACAGCTCAGCAGCTCTATAAGTGTAAGTACCCTTGGGCCTTCAGTAGTGGACACACGGTCAAGGAGACGCGTGCTGGTAGAGCTTTCCAGGAAGGGTAGTGCACACAGCTAAGCACTTGACCTCCAGCCCAGAAGTGCCTCAGAAGAAAGGCCAGGCCGTCTGCTTCTAGACGATCACACACCCTTGAGAAGCCCATGGAGGGCCCTTCTCTCGCCCCCTGGAGTCGTCCTGCATCAGGTTGACTCCACAGCCACTGCTTTGTAGTGCTGTTGACTCCACAGGACAGTGTGTTGCTCCCAGACTGGCAGGGATCCTTCAGCATCCTGCCTGGATGGGCAGATGCCGCGTTCACTTTCTCGTTAGAGTTTGCCCCTCGGGCAGGGAGCAGGTTGGTATGTATTTATATGGTCCAAGCCCTCAGACACCCTCTGGCTTTGCTCCTGAGACAGCATTTTCAGTCTCTGCCGTCCTTATTTCAGTCCCCTTTAGCTGCCACCCCAGGTGTTTCCCACAGGGGTCGGGAGGAGCATAGAGCCTCACCTGATGGTTGGCTGATACAGCAGCCCCCTCACCTGGTTCCTATCGGGTCCATCCGCCTGACCCACCCCACCCTTTTCCCGGGTTTCCTGACCATCAGAGGAGAAAAGGGCTTTCTAGAGACGACTACTGGAAGTAAACACTTCCCAGCCCGCTTGCCCAGGTGCTCGAGGGTTGAATTGATAGCAAGCACCCACGGGCACTTCCTCATAGAAGTGAGCTTTTTTCCTACGGAACAGCCACCCTTGTTGCAATGAGGCAGCCTCCGCCCTCACAGGCACCAGCGGGTGGGGTCCTCTGGACTCGAGGGTAGCTGGCCACTCACCTGCTCCCTGGCTTGTAGCTGTAGCATCTCTCTGTGCAAGGCAGAAGTTGGCAGCTGTGAGAGGTGCCAGGACAAGGCCCAAGCGCAAGGGTTCTGTCGGCTGCAGTCCTTCAGCCTTGGGCTGACCCCGTGGACCCTGAGCAGCACTGGCCTGCTGCTACAGTCTCATGGACCAGATGAGCTCAGAGGGCCGCCCATGAACCCCTTCAGGGACTCAGGCCAATCCTCAAGGGCCCTTGTAGCAGAAAGCAGCACAGGGAAACGTGCCCAAACTGGCCTGAAGGTGGCTGTGGGAGCAGGTCTCTTTCCTTTTCTATTACTGCTAATGCCCTTCCTTCTGTACTAGCACAATGGGTTATGAGCATTCTAAGTCCTGCCTGGTACCTGGTGGAGCTGGCTTTGAACTGTCCACTTGCCCGGGCTACCCACTCATTGCTTTGAGGTGGGCTGTGCATAGCTAGCAGGGGTCCTGCACCAGGAGGGAGACGACAGCACCCACCCCACTCCCACCCCTCCCCGGGCTGCCAGACCTGCTGGGAAGCAGTGGGCGCTAGAGTGCCCCCCCCCTTTTTTGCCATAGAAATGCATGGAAATGAAGAACACCATCCTGGCCAGGCAGAAGGAAATGCACGGCTCCCTGGAGAAGGTAAAGCAGCTGATCCGCCTCATCCATGGCATCGACCTCTCCAGACCCGTGGACTCTGAGGCCACTGTGGGGGCCATCGCCAATGGCCCGGACTGCACGCCCCCTGCCAATGCCGCCACGCCGGCGCCCTCGCCCTCCTCCCAGAGCTGCACAGTGAACTGTAACCCCGGGGAAGAGACTAAATAACAGAGCCCCGCAGGGAGAGGCCGCGGGATCCCGGCGGCCAGAGGAGCGATGCTGACGACTAGAGAAGCGAAGCCAGACTTCTTCTGGAAAGTACAGAATGCTTTTGGCTCTTTGGTTCCAGAGAGAGAGAGAAGATGCTTGTGCCAGGAGGCACCAGTTTGCCAATTGATCCTTCTTATTCTGTGTGTACATGCAAAGATTGGACCATGTTACATGAAATAGTGCCAGCTGGAGGTTCTGTGCCAGCACCATGCCAAGTGAAATAATATACTTACTCTCTCGATTATACACCAGTGTGTGCCTGCAGCAGCCTCCACAGCCACAACGGGTTTGCTTTGGTTACCCTTGGGCGGGGGGCGGGCCGGGCCCAGGGGTGGGGGGCAGGTTTCAGACCCTGTTTGCCGAGCCGTCGGTTGAGGTAGAGAAGACAAGTCCAAAGAGCGCGTGGGCTTTCCTGTTTCTAAACGTTCACTACGATAAAACCAAAAAGAGGAAACCGAAATCTCACCGACCGGTGCCCAGAAGAGGGGCGGGGAGGGGCAGGCGGGAGGGGCCGGGGCGGGAGAGTATATCACATAAGCAGTATTTAATATTGTCTGGAGGTGGGGGGTGGCGAGTGCGACCAGAGGTGCACCCCAAGGGTGGCCCCTAGGTCTTCTCCCAGAGCTCGCCGCCCGCCGCCCCCGCCGGGGGTGCCCCCCACGCCGGAAGCCGAGCGCCCGCCGCAGCCCCTTCCCTCCTCTGGTGGCCGGGTGGGCACGCAGCCCCGTGGACCACCGGCCACCCAGAGAACCAGCAGAGCGGGCTGCCCCGGCCCGGCGGGGGGAAGGGGCGTGGCGAGGAAGGAGAGAAGGCGGGTCAGGGCTTTGACTGGAAAACTAGCTCCGCCCCTTGCTATATTTATCAGGAGAGCAGCTCCGTGCGGGCCAAGCCGCCCCAGGTGTGTGTGAACTGAATGGAGACGTTTTCTTTCCCCTCTGGTTTCGTTCTGCACCCCCACTTTTTTTCTTTTAGACAAGGTTTTATTTTGTTGTTCATTTTACTTTTCTTTTTCGGTAACAAAAACTAAACTAAGGACTAGCGGAGCTGTTTCCAGGCTGACAGCCCAGTTGCGGGTAGTTGAGACCCTGCATGGTAGAGTAGGAACCTAGTGTCAGTGAGGTCCAGTGAGTCTTTGTGAGTCCTGTGTCATCGTTTGGGGCACTGTTTTTTTATGCAAGGGCAAACTCTTTGTATCTGGGGGAAATCAACAACAACTTTTTTTTTAATTAAAAAGGAAAATAAAAGATATTGAGGTCTTCCTAGTGTTACTTAAATTAAGATCAAGGTAAGAAACATTGTAAAAAAAATTACAAAAGTGCTATTTGTTTCCTAAAAACAGTGATTTCTATTAAAAAGGTGTCAGAACTGGAGAAAACGCTGTGTAGTTATAATTTTTTAGCACAGAACCTGCTGATCATGGTGACATTTTGCTGTGTTTGTGTCTCAAGACTGGTGGGCTAGTCTCCATGGTTTCTGTCCTAGAGACGGGCTGCAGCCCCCCTCCCTCCTCAGAACAGTCTGCCCTCTCTTCTTGGTGCAGGGATCTTGTCAGTGCCCCACCCCCACCCCCACCCTCGGTTCTGAAGCCCTAGTGCAAGGGTGGTGTCAGAGCCCACCCCGTGGCTGCTTGAGCAAGGGCTGGTGCCTCCTAAGATCTCTTCCCTTGGTGCTGCTCTCTGCCTTTCAGCCACCAGCATTGTGAGCCTGGGGGACAGCTTGGATGGTGACGGTGACCAGAGTGCCTGTGTACCTGGTCTCGTGGGGGAGGGGAGGGGAGGGCCAGGCCCATGGTGCTTAGAAGGAACAGAGGAGGCCCAGTTGTCTCCTGGGGACCCGGTGTGTCTCAGCTCAAGGGTGGTCTTGATGGCGGGCTTACCTTTGAAGAGAGGTCCAAATCTCCAGCCACATCCTTTGCCCGCTGGCTCCTGGGCTCCAGAAAGGGGCTCCACTCCAGTTCTCCCACCGGCAGCTTCCTGGGGGGAAAGGGGGAGACCCCTGTGCCCGATCTCTCTGCTAGCCTCGCCTTGGCTTGTGGCAGCCGCCTTCCTTCATGAGAAGAACAGGGTTCTGGAAGCATCTTGCCTTGTGGGCAGGCAGTAGCTTGTATTGGGTGGCTGCCCAGGCTAGACCTAGCCTTTGCCCATCTCATTCCCCTGGCTGACAGGAAGCAGTGGCTCTGCTCCCCAAACCTACCCCCCCACCGCCACCTCAGCATGACAGAGCCTCGGGTCCCATTCACTTCTCCCCCCACCTAGTTGGGCCCAGAGACAAAGATGGATCCTGAAAGCAAACAACAGAACAGGGCCGTTTCTGGAGGGAAACACGCCCCATCCATTCCCGCCAATTCTGTCCCTCCTCCTCGGTTGGCATGAGAGAGGGAGTTAGGAGTTCAGCCGCACAGGCCTCTGAGCCTGGCCCTAACTGCCAGGTCAAACAGAGGGACCCCCTCGCCATCAGAAGCCAGGTGCTGTCTGGGAGGTGCCTGGGCTAGCTGGGGGAGGAGTTGGAGGCCTGCTGGGTGCTGTCTGGGCCTGTCAGCCGAGGGTTGCTCCGCAGGCTCCATGCCTTCCTGACAGACGTCGGATAGCTGTCGTCACCAGAGGCCTTTCTGCTCCCAGAAAAGCTGCTTCTGGGGTCTCTGGCGGCACAAGGCTGACTAGGTGCTGACTACTGCCGTGAGCAGTCAGAGTCCAGCTGGGCAAGAGGGGGGGGGGGAGTCTCCTCCAAGTGCGGAGCTGGGATTTTCCGACTCAGCTGACACCGAGTACAAGGTGCAGCCCTGCCCCTGCCCCAAGTCCTCCGTTCCTTTATTCCTATTTCTATCCCCAGGCTGCAAAGATAAGGTGGCATGCTCCATGTCCTGCTCCATCACTGTCCACCCAGGCCCGGCTGCGACCCTCCTTCCCCTCCCTGCCCACCACAACACCTCCCCCCACACACACACCCACTGAGTCCACTCAGGTCGCCCCCAGCCTCCTCCTCCTCCTCCACCCTGCTGCTGCTTTCTCAAAGCCCAGGATGTAGCTGCTCTTTCAGGTACCTCTGGGGACTCCCCCGCTGGTGGCGCAGACTGACAACCAGCCAAAAAGGCCGGCAGTCTGAATGCATCCAGAGGCCCTTCAGAAGCCAAGCCTGGCTTCTCCAAGGTCACCTCCTTTGTTCAGACCCCTCTGTGCACATGGGGTGCCCAGGGGTCAGAACCGGACTCAGTGTCTGGTGCCGCCGGTGCCGGTCTGAGACCAGCAGGCTCCTTCAGGCTTGGGAGATGGGGAAGGGTGCCCACAGGGCCTTGACTAGGAGTCCCTCTCCTGCGTGTAGCGGGTCAGGTGCCAGGCCCTGGAGGCAGTGAGGTCATGCTGTTCTCATCTCATCACTCTTGCCGCCTGCAGGCCCTTCTGTGTGCCGCCTGCCCAGTCTTGTCTCGCCTCGGCAGAGCTCGCCCCTTCTGATTCTCTTCCTGCCAGGCCCATCTGCCGGCTGTACTGCCTCCGGCTCCCCTGCACGGGGCTTTGCGTGCCATCCCAGTGCCCCTTCCTGGCCCGCCCTCCGCCTGCGTCTCCCACCCTCAAGTTCTTGGCGAGAGCTCACAGGCCTTGGTGGTGGCTGCACAGGCCCTGTGCGGACCCTCCTCAGCCAAGTGGAGGGAGCATGCCCGGGGGGCACACCCCTTGCCCCCAGTCTGCTGGCACTCTGACATCGTTCCCTTTGCTTCCTTTCAGAGTGTGGTCATGGTTTCTGTCTAAAGGGCTTAATTAAGGAGGCAAGGGCTCGCTCGGGGGGGTCATGAGCCCAATGGGGCAGGCTTTTGAAGCCCTGGGTTTCCAGGTTCTGTGGTTGATGGTGGATGAGGCAGTTCAGATCTGGGTAAGCTTCTGACGGGGCCTCCGCACACGCCTCAGCTGGGCACACTCTGCAGGAAACAGGCGCCTCCTCACCTCACTTGCAGCCTGTCCTCTCCCAGGAGCCAGTGGGGGGGGGACCCCTGGGAAGATCCCTCCTTGACCCTCACACCAGCTAAGTGATGGGGGCAAGCCGAGGGTACCCTCTTCCGAGAGCCAGACTGAGAACTCTTAAATCTAGCCCTTGTCCAGGGTGGGCAAGACTCAGATGGCATTCCACCCAGCAGGCGATCCTCCCTGGGGACGCCATCCTCCCGCACAGCAGCCTTGGAGCCCTGTCCTCCCGCGCCCAGGGCTAGCTGCGGTCAGGCAGGGCAGGACTGGTCCGAGGTCATCCAGCCCCAACCCTGTCTCTTGTCCATGCCCTTTGTGATTTCAGTCTTGGTAGAACTTGTATTTCGAGTTTTGTGCTTCAAAGTTTTTGTTTTTGTTTGTTTGTTTTTTGTTTTGAGGGGGCGGGAGGGGTACAGAGCAGCTGATCAATTTGTATTTATTTATTTTAACATTTTACTAAATAAAGCCAGATAAAGTCTGTTGGCCTCATAGTGTTGGGTTTGGGGCAAGGGAGGGCGGGG